CCTTTAGCTTAGCGGTGGTGACGTGAAGTCATGTGACCGTGCTGTAGTTCCTTTATAGCCCAACATTAGCCTCCTTTAGCTTAGCGGTGGTGACGTGAAGTCATGTGACCGTGCTGTAGTTCCTTTATAGCCCAACATTAGCTTTTTACTTCAGAAATCATTAAGAGGTGTTAATATGTGGAGATGATCCTGCTGAACTCAATGTTTGTTTGACACAGAGATTGTTTTCTGCCTTCAGGGTCCAACAGAAAAACCACATCCCTGCTCCACTTTTGTACCTTTGTCCTCGCAGAAGTTGAATGGCATCTTGCCGGTGAACGGCGTGGAGACGAACTGGGCCAACATGGCGAAGTCAGTGGTGCTGTTTGGACAGGCAGCGAGGGAGTGGAGGGAGTTGAAACCCCACATCGTGCTCTCATCTGGCATCAGGTCGGTCTCCTGATCACAAACACACAGGAAGTTCAAACAGACCAGAACTGACATGAAAAAGTGGATTTTGCATAACAGGTTACCGTTAAAACAGACGAGAACTGAGGCCATTTAAAGACAGGGTGTGGATCATATTTATGTGAAAACATCTAAATGTAGTTGATATTTACGGAAGAGGATTAGGGCCAGATCTGACCAAAAGTTACCTTTTTCCCCCGTAGATATGCCAGGTAAATGTATTTAAGTTTGAATAATAATGCATTTTTTGTTTGTTGCAGAAACACCGTTAAAAGAGAACAGGGTGTGGATTATATTTATGTAATAACATGTTTCAAATAAATCTGATGGCATCTAAATGTAAAATGTAGTTGATATCTACGGAAGAGGATTAGGCCACATGGGACTCGAGTCCCAAAATAAAAAATGTTTGAGGGAATAAAATCTGGATTTTGAGATAATAGTCAGGATTTGCAGAATGTCCGAATTTTTTGAAAAAATAAGATCATCTTGAGGGGGGAAATATGAAAAAATATATAAAAGGAAATTCTTAATTCTGAGGGAAAAGAATCATAATTTTGAATAAATAGTCATGATTCACAGAAAGTCATAATTTTGAGAGAAAAAATTACAGAATTCGGAGGAAAATAATCTGAATTTTTGGGAAACATTTTGAGTTTTTTGGGGGGAAATTAGAATTGTCCTCATAATTCTGATTTTTTTTCTCAAAATGATGACTTTCTGTGAATAACGAATAATTACCGAAAATTAGAATTTATGGAAGGAATTCGAATGTTGAGAGAAAAAAATCTGAATTTTGAGAAAAAAATTAAATGTCTTTGTTGAAATGTGCTTTAAAAATGAACTTGTGCGTCTTGTTCGATATAACAGTACAGTGTTTCCCCTCGGTCTACTGCCTGGCTGGAATTTAGAATTTTTTTGTTGTTGTATCCTCTGGAGCAGAGAGAGGAGCTGTGGATTATTGTTATCGTACAGTAACAAAGTATTTGTACATTAAAACTGTATTCCTTCTTATCATGTAGCCTACACTTCTTCCTTTCATTGATACATTTAAATCACCTGACGCACGTCCACCTGGGCAGGCTGTGTGTGTCCTTCTCCCGGGACGATAACGGCTTGAGGTTAAAAAATCATAATAAACGAATTTGAAACTGGGGGGGACGACGACACACAAACGGGCAGACAGCAGAGCTCGGGGCAATAATGCAGATTTTTTTGACTTTTTTACACTTTGTTGTTCTCCGCTCTC